CAACTCTGAACTGTGCATGTGGTTTCAAAAGAATTTGGGAAGTGTGGGGGGGAATTGCATCCAAAATGTCAAGTGCTGAATTTCAGAACCTTCACCCGTCAAGGGCTAGACCATCCCCCACCTTGCACTACCTTCTGTATAACCCACCCTATGTTTTTTGCTGTCCACCCGAGCCTCCTCATGGGCCTACTGATCAATTCCTAGAGTTGTGATGGCTGTGTGCATAGATCCACTGTGTTTTCAATGTTAGTGCCTATGTCCCAAAGTATGTATGTAGCAGCACTGTGGATAGGTGGAGTAATAAGATGTTGGTGTGAAATAGCTGTCAGACTTGGAGCTTTTCTCTCAGTTTAAAATGGAGTTCACTTTTAACCCCTAGGGTACAGGACTGTTCACCTTCTGCTTTGGAAATGATTTTTTTGTACTTTTTATTTCCTAGTGTTGTGCTTGTGAGTCTGTATTGTTCTCAAAACTACAAATACAACAGTTTACTTAACTGGAATATGTGCATTTTTAAAGCAGCTACAGTAGAAACTACCTGAATTAGCTTCTCCTGGACGCCCTCGAGTATTAAGCAGTTAAGTCTTAATTTACTGTAAAAAAAAGTACTTGTATGAAAGTGTACATATTTGGCTTGTCAGATTCAGGTTTAGACTGTACACGAGAGGATTAAATGAACCTTTATTCATTTTAGTCAGCAGTGCCTGCAGGAAAGGGATGAAAAACCAAATGAGAGGCCTGGTTTTTTGAAAACATGGCTGTGGGTTGTATGTACAGCTCATCTTTGTTGGGGGGGAAAAGTCACTGCTTGTTCTGTCCTGACAGAAGGATTTAATAAACAAATGGATACAACTCAGCTGCGTGTGATATTTTTGACTTGTACATGCATTTCCTCCCACTTTTCGTTGGTCACGTGAGGAACTTGAGAACCTGTGATGTATCCATCGACACAAAGTGTGCAAAATAAAGAATCTGCTGACAGTGTCACACGAGGAGGGCGACTCCTCAGCTGGACTTGTGCTCTATGATGAGGAATTTGTTTATACGTTAAGCAAAATTAAATTGACCTGATTTTTAAATGTTTAAAGGTTGTACGAGTTGATGATAGCCATTTAACCTGTAATAAGTTTGATTTGTAATATTTGCATTGCAAGTTAACTGAATTTGGTGTTTGCACTGTCTGTCACATAAAGTAAGCTACTGCAAAAAGATGTGATGGGGTGGGACGGTAAATGCATTTTTTTTTTTTTTTAATTATTATTGTTTCATATTGTGCTTTAATGAAACATAAGGTTAACTAAGCTGTTTACTCTCCATCTTTATGGGAGGAATATTAAAATCTCTGTGCAAAAATACCAGTGTTGTGTGTATTTTGAAAATTAAAACTACCGAGCTTGCACCTGTGACAGTCAGGAGGCCTTGTCTTGAGGAGGAAGGGGTGTTTATCTGATCCTCAAGCTCTCTCACTCAGCTTACAGATGTGCCTTCTCTCCCTCTGGGGTAGTTATGACCCAGTACTGCTTATTCTCCACAGAAGTCAAAAGTATTAAAAAAAAAATCTTTTCTTTACAGTGTTTAACTTTTTACAGACATTTCTTCTGAGAAGATCTCCTTTTAGTGACTCAGCATTTTAAAGGCAGAGAGGTGTGGGGATCGCGCTTACCTGGGAGGGTCTGCTTTCTTTTGTGTTCCCTATGCCATGAGCCCTTTGTTCTTTTATTTGCTGCTCTTGATTTTAGACATACAGTATCAGAGTGGGTATATAATCCATATAGCCACTGGCATTTTTGATCATGTCTACGATTATGAACAGATGGAGGCAACACTGGATATAAATAAATGTAAAAAAATAAACAACTTTAATTCAATAGGGGAAAAAACCCTTTTACTTTTTATTTGTTTATAGTCTTAACCATTGTCCCTTAATTAATGATCCCATGCATCCACTGAATAGCACTTTGGATTAGTCATGGTGGCTGTTAAAGCATTGGTAATATTGTTTCTTAGGCGTGTTTGTTATTCAGAAAAGTCACACGCACCCTTAAAGTCTGGCAACAATTTTTTTGTTTTGCTTTTTAGATTTGAAGACAATTTTTACGTTGTCTAACTTTATTACAAATGTGTAATTGTAACATACGAATACATGTTACGTGTAAAACGTAGGAAAAATCTCGAAAGGCAACAAAATCCAGGAAGTATTTGTTGCTATACCTGTTGCAGGTAAATCCCAGGGTAAAGGGTGTGTGTGTGTGTGTGTGTCGGTGAACGTGTTTACTCCTCCCTTTAATCTCAGCGGTGTGTAACGTCGAGCTAGCTAAAATACTAAAGAGTGTTTCCTGTTTCAGATTTCAAAATAAATCACAAGCGTGGAAAAGTTGTGACCTGGGGAGCTCGGAAAGAAAAGAAAACGTTTCGTTATAGGAAATAAAATATATCATTATATTTCACGTTGATGAAACTTTGCGCTGAAGTAATTTTGCCATATTTGTGCGAGTATTCGCCGATCAAGTATTAATTTTTCTTTCACATGATCACGATCGTGCTTTTACGTTGACGGCAAAGCTGGTTCTTTTCTGGCCGCTTACTAGCTCCTTCCATCTGGCTTCTTTAAATTGTGTGGAGGATGGTGAGGGGAGGGGAGGTGAAGATTTCATTCCTTGCTGAGTTCTTTGTACCGAGCTGCGTGCGCTTCATGTGGTACTAGCAGGAACAGAGGTCAGGTCTCAAGCCGGGCGCTCAAGGAGCAATAGGAGACCTATTAAAAGTTTTAGATGATCGAGAGTGCCCAGTGTAGGTCACCGGCTGGCCCAGGGCAAGGTGGGATTTTTCTCCGGATGAGAGGCACCAGGGGACCCGAGCGCCGGGGATATCCAGGGTGCCGGTGATAGTGCGCATCCACCGGGAGCAGCGGTGGGCGGCAGGCGGACGTGCTCAGGGCGCGTTCCGTCCCCTACTCATGACAAAGCGGGTGAGGAACTCGGGAGCAAGTTTCCCCCGGGAGTCAAAATGATCACGTCGTTTTTCCCCTTGAAGAAACTGCGGCGAAATGGCAAATATCTCCTGTTCGGTGCGATCCTGCTGGCGGGATTGGTGGCCGTGTACCACGAGATGGTTGCTGCAAAAGAATGGAGGAGTGATATGAGTAAGTTTATGGTTTATGATTTCCAGTACGCGCACTGCTACTCACAGAGTGTCACTCAAACCTTTGCTGATGCACCATTCAGACGGAGTTTCTATTTATGATAATTATGCAGTAGCGATAGCAAGTGAACATGCGCATGCGGGAGGGAGGGGGGGAGAGAAATATAGCCGAACAAAAGTAAAAAGGTTTGGACTGTATTACGCATTTGAGCGTGCATGATATAAGCTATTTGTCACGTATCACACATTTCCATGGCACTGTGGTGTTGAACAGTCCACATCATTTACAAAAATAGGGAAACACAAACATGAAATACTGCTAAGGCCACTGTAAAAATGAGTCATCACCAAAAACAATGTTGTTTGGTGACATTTTTTGTTGTGTGAAGTTGGAAGTCAGAAACCGAAGTCGCAAAAGATTTGTTTATTTGCATGAAAGATTTGAATGCATGTGCATTTTAAACAAGTTTTCACATCTAACATCTGCTTTAGCTTTCATGATGTTGGATGCATTTCCTCAGGAAACTTGAGCCTTCAGCAGGTGAAACAGCAGGTTGATTTAGGGAAAGAGAGACAGTAAGAAGGGGGTTGGGGAGGTCAGGAGGTCACATAGTAGGTTTACACTCAGAAGGAAATCTAGTCTCACACTGGGTAACCAGATTTCCTGCTTTCTACCCTCACACGTTGCCTTACCGTCTGTCGCAGCACACATACACACACACACACAGCACAAAACAGATGAAAGGAAACAACAGTGGGGTTGTTGAGAGAAACAGAAACATATGACACGCTCAGTCTGAGCACAGCATCAGCATGTAAACACATGCCTAGATCTACATTAGAGGGCTCGCCTATATGTGCACACATTCCTGGGCTGAAGCCCCCCGGCCACAGTGGGGCTTCTATTGAGAGAAGGACTCCACAAAGCTCTTCAAACAGAGCTGTATTAAAATCCTAACATGGATAAATAATTGGCAGGTGCAGTTAAGCACATGACTTCAGTTGCAAGTGGTCAGTATGAGGTTTCTTTTTTTCCCCCTTTTTTACACAGTTCATAAGACAAGACAGACGTTTTTAAAAATGTTGTAACTTGATTGTTATAACATACATGTACATGACTTTGAGTGAATAAAATGTGTCATGGCTCACATAAAAAAAGCCCAAAACACATAATTCAAGTCAGTCTGTTACATAATTACAAGAGAAAGAACCAACAGCAATTAAAAATGATATTTATTAAGAGTTTTTAGAACCTTGTATTGAGGGTCAAAATGAGGTCCACTATGGGGATGTTGTGCCTATTCGTGATGCCATGTGGCTGCTGTTTTAAAGTGTGCTTGTTGAGTGATTTGCATGGCTCGCCAGCAGCTTGAATTGCACTTTTGGAGCTATGCAGAAATGTCTTCTTCATGTGGAATTCACTGAGGTTTAAAATGTGCTATCCTAGAGTACACTTTGTGGGTCAGAGCAGCACTTTATATCTTTAATGGGTCATAATCTGTTCACACACACTTTCATTAAGAACGACTTCACACAAGTCCAATTTCTTTTTACCCTAAATGCGGTTTACGACTCCCCCACAACTCTGGTTTTTTTCTACCTTTTGGGAAAATATAATCACCCAAGTTCCGTTTTATTTCCCACCTTTTTAAGAATGCATGCCCGATCTTACACCTGCAATTAATGTATTCTCCCCCCTCACCCATCACCACTGCATTCGTGAAATTTGCTTTTGCAGTTTTTGCAGAGATCACCTTGGTGGAGAAACGTGCATCAAGGTGAATTAAAGGAAGTGCGTAAGTCATCAGGAAACTTCACATGCAGATTTTTTATTTGTGCAGCAGGTTACTCACTCACTCAGGTTAATCACCTTTAAACTAGACAAACAGGACTTGAGATGTGCAGTTTTTATGGGACGGGCTTTTTTATCTGAGATCATATGAGCACTACAACTAACAACGTAGATAATGTTTGCTGCAGTAAAGCAGTTAATAACTGGCCCAGCAGAATAAAGATGGCCATTGTGTGCATGACTTATATGTGATAATTCCATGCAATGGACACTTGGCCTAGATTTTTAATAACCCTTTGGTAAAAGTCGAGAACTAGTAGTTAAACTCATAATGTGCAATTTATTATCCAATTAATTTGGTTGACATCTACACACACACAGAAAAAAAATTGTGATGCAGACAAAGATCCTTTAATACACAATGGCCACATGCAAGGTCAAGTGACTTATTTAATTAAATAGCTTGAAGAGCATAGGCCTCAGTTAAGGCTTCTAGTCCAGCTTTGTGTGATATATATCTGTAAGCGAAAACAAAACAATATTTTTAAAAATGGCATTTTTCCACACAGCAGGAGCCCTTATTGGGAAATACTACAAAATTGTTTGATTTATACATTGTATGCTTGGACTGGGGAAGAAGTGCTGTGTGATAATGCAAATTGTGGCATCAATCCAATACCAAGTAAACACAGTACTGCCGATACCAATACTGACACTGATATTTTTAACTTCTAAAGACAGCTTGTGTAAGGGGGAGCAGTGTGTCATGATTTATAAGACGAATCATCGTCAATTGCCGAATTCTGAACACATTTTAATGAGCCCCTAAATCACTGTGATTTTTACTGTCCACAATAATTTAACACAACAGCACACACATTTCAGATTTTCATGTATTTTGAAACTGGGTTGGTTTTTGGGGTTTGTTTGTTTTTTGAGACCTGGAATGTGAATGTGCCCCTAAAGTAAATATTGGTACTTTTTGAGATTTGAATGGCACTTTACTTTTTGCAAGAGGCTACAAATAAAATAGACATGACAGTCAACACAAAAAGGTTCCTCTTTCATCGTGCATGTGGGAGGTATATTTTTCCTTTCCCAAAAAATTATTAACACAATTCAGTGGGCTGCATATTGAACTTAGAGGCTAGACACATAGTATCGATCCTGTCGTGCTAGTATTGATCCAATACCAATACCAGGGTTAGTATCGATATTTAGATCGATCTGTCCACCTGTCCAACTTTATATGGAAGCCCCTTTGCGGGAGTACAAAGACATGACCTCACAGCCACTTTGGTAGCTACCATTTGGCTTTATTATTCTGTAAAACTACACCACAAAGGTCCTTATAAAAACCTTTCTGAGGCACGTTTTTAGAAATGTTACCAGGAAAAAAAAATCTTTGTCATAAAATCCAAGATGTCAGGCACAAGTGGATCAAAGACATTCTGTTGGATTTCCTCTGTGAAAATTGTGCACGTTGTTCAAAGGTTTCAAGCTTTCTTATTTGAGGTAAATACACAATATAGACAAAAGTACTGGGGCACTTACACATTACACCTACAGTAGCTGTTCAGCCATGCAAACACATTCTACGTACGAAGCTTGTGGCACAGATTTTATTTGCTGATGTTAATGCCAGAGGAGCTTTGATACTCAGCAGCTAATGAGTCAGCGAAGCGTCGGTGGCTCTATACACCTCGGTGATCCCATTCTGTAAGTTTATGTAGTCTGATGGTTGAGTTTCTGTGGTTCTTAAACACTTCCACTTTGCAGCAATACCACTCACAGCTGATGGTGGAAGATCTGAGAGGTAAAACATGTCATAAGCTGAGTTGGGGCAGTGGAGGCATCTTATTACAAGACCAAGCTTAAATTCACTGAGCACTAGAAAGGCCTACTGTATCACAAATGTTTGCAAAAGGCAGAAAGCATAGCTGGATGCTTGGTTTTATACACATGTAGTAATGGGACTAAAAACCCTGAATTAAAAGATTAAAAGATGTGACCCAGAGGTCAAGAAACATCCATCTCAAGATATGACTTCCTGATCTTTGATCTTTGATCCATACTCATCGACACACACCATCTCCACCTTGGAGACGCTGTCCCAGGCTATTGTTGCCGCCACCTTCACTTCTTGATCTGCCTTTGACTATGGTTTACAGAAAGTGGACCGTATGCTGAGCTTAATTGGGATCAGGAGATATATTTGGCAACTTGGGGACATTGCAACACTTTACAGAAACTCTTTGTTTGCTTATAGGATTTTGGTTTTTATATATTGTGCATTCAGGGCATCTATCAGGAGACAAATCATCTCGTGTGCAAAGGTACTACTTTCAGTAAACCATAACTGCTCAGTTACCACGTTTGGTTGATTCCAGTTTTCTGCATAGTTAACATAGAACACAGCGTTACACCTCCGCTTGTTTCCACTTTTCTTTTTTAAAAACTGCAAGTAAGCTTTCATGCTTTTTGAGGCTTACCAGCGGTTTGACTCTTGTGGTGAGTTGTCTGAGGTTTTGGTAGTGAAGTTTTTTTTTCCTCTTTGCAAAGAAAAATGTACGCCTACATCCTGGAAATTTACTGCACAGTCATTTTCCCCCCCCCCTCCCCTTCATCTTCCAAAGAAGCTGCCGGTCACCTCTTACCTCTCATTTTCAGAGCCAGTTCCACTTCAGTTAAAAAGGCAACGTTTAACTCTCGGTGTATGAGTTCAAGCTGAAACAACACAGAAGCTCAAGAAATATTATGCATCCATTTGACACATTGCTTTTAAAACTTGCTGTATAAAAATCTATGCATCTCACAAACAGTTTAAAAAAAAATCCTGTTGTAAACCTTCTTAACACTAAAACTTCAAGCACATAATCCAAAGAATACTGTGGACACTTAATTTGCATGCTAAAACATGCAAATGAAGCTTTTTTTTAATGTTGTAAATGATATATTTGATTATATTCTGTTTTACATGTTATCACACAGCCTCTCCCTTTTATTCAACACTTTAACTAAATGTCTGTTAGCAACATTTTTTTGACAGAATAAGAAGAGTAGGACTGCTAAACTGGTATGTTGTGTCCAAAGTGGACAGAAAAAAAAAAACACTAAAACAGCAACAATGTGACAAGAGATTTAAAAAAAATAATTGTTTTCCTGCCATATATGGACGCAGAAAGCTAGTGAAACCCTGCTGCATCCTTCTTATCACCTGAAGTGTCCACCCTGACAGTGAATTTTGCAATACATTCCACGGAAAGTAGAAAAAAACATGACAGGGAAGGTTTAGTAAGAAGAGGAGAGGAGTGCACATAGAGATGGAAAGTACTCCACTGTTGCTTTCCTTATCCACGGCTCTAGAATTACTTGTGCTGCTAAAATTGGAACGTATGTCACAAGGGTGTGTGTTAGGAGATCTCCACCCTGGCGATAATGACAGACCATCACTGCAGTAACTCCAGTTCACTGCTGACACCACATGGTCGTAAAAAAAGAAAAGAAAGACAGACAAATAGGTCCTGTTTTAAAATACACCCTGTCCTGTAATTTGAAGGATGATGGAAGAAGTCAGCAGGAATAATATTTGAGCATCTGCTCTGCCAGAGCGCCAGAGATGTTTGCCAACGCGGGAGCCCTATGCCATAGCAGCTCTTTGAAGCCTGTCACTGAGATGAGCTATGTTCAGGGGCTATGAGCAGTGAGTCTCTGCTTAGACACCGGGCCTGATTGTTGTGTGCAATACATGGGCAGAGTTTATCATTTATGCATGGACGTGTAGCGTGCCTACCGCTCCTCACATGCAACCCAGATAGAGTTTCTTTTATGTCACAAGTTGTAAGAAGCAGATTGGGATTTTTTTGTTTAGAATGCATTTTGATTGGATGTGCACCTACTGGGGAAGCCTCAAGTCACTTTAAAATAACCACTTTCACAGAGATGATGTGACCATGTTGACTATTGTCTTCACCTATATCCTCAGGTTCAATTACTGACGCTGACCACGTCAGCTGGAGGAGAGACGTGTTTGAAAATAGGGTAAGGATGGCACACGAGAGTGTTTGTTTTTTCAGAAAGGAAACCAAAGCTAAACCAAGTTTAATATTTGTTTTTACAGGCAAAAAAGGACCATCAGCCAAACACTGTTGGGGACAGCAGTGCTTGGGTCTCCAGTTATGCTCCACAACCTTGGAAACCAGAGGTGTGTGCGCTTGCCCATACCTAGTGGCCCAGTGGCCTCCCCCTCCCTCAGTCCCTCCGTTTATAGTGTGACTCCATTTCAGAAGCTTCCCTGCTTTGTGTTAATGTTTCGAATATTTCATGTCAGGTGTAACCGGTTCCTGTTTATGTTTTTGTTTTGAGCCAGTGTTGCCTATTTCAACAGCAGTATTGCATGATTAAACAGACAGACCTAGCAAACAGGGCATCAGAGATTCTATTATAGATACACAGTTTACAAATCATCCACAATAACAAATCAGGAACAAAAAAGGTGCGGTTTCTAACAAATTTAAGAGCATTCACACTGACCAAGGGTACATTTTTCTTCTTTATTATCAACTTAATGTCTCACTGGTAATCGGGGGGTTGGCCACATATTTTAAAGTGTTTTTCTCACTTCTATTGTCACTCTGGGGACAAACAGGACAAAGAGGAAACCAGCCTAAGCAGATATTGAAATGTAAAAAACAACCAACAGAAAAGTCTGCAGACATGCATAGATTGCTACATAGCTGCACCCTTTTAAGAAGCCAATGATTTACACACAATTTACAGCACAATATTAGTATACATCTTCTTTGGGTCCTGATCAGGTGCACTGATAAAGAGGAAGAACAAAAGTTACTTACTTTCCTGTTAATTTGCTGAAATCTTTCTTGATAAACTGACTCACTTTGGGGTTTTTAATGTACAGTCAAGTGAAAGGAAAGCCACATGTACCCAACAACAAACAAGTGTCACGTATCTGCTTTGAGAAAAAAACCCTTTTGATATCAATGTCTTTATTAGTTCTACAGTCAGTATTCCTCAGTTTTACATGATTTTGTGCACACTGTATGCCCCTGTAGTAGATTTGTCTATAGTTTTGTGTTTTTTGTCAAGGAAGAGGTTGATAAGTTTTTTACAAAATGTTATTATTGAGTTATAAGTAATTTTGCTGTGAAAAACGATGTAAAACTAGGCTAATGTCTCGGAGAATTAACAAAGCTCAAAAATGCTTTGATGAAGCGCCACACGTAGCAGGCTAGTTATTGAAAAATAACGTTTTAGCAGAAGCAAATTGAGCTTTACAACAAAAGGGCTCCTTAAACTCACCGCCTTTTGATTTTGAGTAAGAATCTCCTTAAATGATTACAAGCTACACTCTCAGTCATCATTTTACGGCATTTTGTGTAAACTTGTGAGCTTCAGTCATGCTAATATTTAACCAACTAGCCTGACCACTACTGAAATCTGATGAGCTGCTTGGCTACATTTGGCTCCGATCTGCACTGTTATGTCCCTTTGGCGAAACCAACACACACTCACTCACACACTCAAACACACACGCACACACAGATCAGATAACATGGCCTCTTTGGCAGATATCACAGAGGTATATGTTTACAGGACATCTGTGCATCTACTGAAACTCAGCTGCTTCTTCATTTACATGTTCGTGTTCCAGTGTTTCTTATTGACTTTCACTGAGCATTTGAACTGCAAATGAGAAAAGTGATTTAGACTGTTGCTCCAACTTCTGTGCCTTTAAATACAGTAAACATACAAGTTCTGTGTTAAAGTCACTGTCACTCTCCTGTGTTGCAGTATAAGGGACAGGCCAATCTGCATGTGTTTGAGGACTGGTGTGGCAGTTCAACGGCCGATCTTCGCAAAAACCTGCATTACCCGCTTTACCCTCATGTGAGTCAAAATGCCCAACTTCTCAGTTGTCACAGTCAAATGTAAACCTTCACTGAGTCAGACAATCTTAAACTAGATTAGACAAACCTCAGAAGAGGAAACATTCACAAGAGCACAAGCACAGTTTACAAGGAATCATTAAACATGTTGGCGAAAAAACCCCATTTCTTAATAAAACTCGTTTTATTAATGGTTAGAATATGGTTATTCATTAATCTTGCTTAACTGATGATTTGCATTTTTAGCCACTGTGGCCATTGTGTGACCAAATATATGAAAACCAAATCCAGCCAGGCTAAAAATGGTAATTTGCAAAAACTGTACTAGGATGCTAACATGCCAAATGTAACAGGTGAACATAGTAAACATTATTCCTGCTATATATAATTATGTTAGTACTGAGTCCTTTCTCATTGTCATATTATACTGGTTTTGCAGAAAACTGCCCAGTATGTGTGATGTTATATTCCTAGTAAAACTTCATTAAAAAAAGTTTTTTTATTTATTTCACGTTTTATGTGTAAAAGTATAAAAGTAGTAGAAGCATAGGCAGAAGATTGTCACCAGAGAATACCACCAAACTCAGATAACCCATAGATATCACCTCCTCTTGCATGTAAGTATTGGTGGTTGGATGTGAAAGAAGACACTCGTGCACACACTCTCACACACGCACAGTTGGTTTTACTCAGTGGTACATTATACGTCTTCATGCCAGATTTTCACGTTCCTGAGTTCATGCCATGGTTCAGATACCTCGGCACTCGGGAGTAATGTCAATCTCAGGTTCGTGCATTACAGGAAAAGCGACATTCGGGACTCACTAGCACACCAGAGCAATACTTTTCATGCTTAAAAACATGTCTGCTGCACGTTCATGCAGAGTCTAGTCAGTACTAAGTGATTTAATAAGTCACAGATACACAGCAGTGGCAGTACAAATGAAGTTTTACAGTTTTACTACTGGATTTTACTACTTGGATTGTTAACTTGGGGTTGGTTAGGCTGTTCCGACTCTGACTGGTCTGAGTGTTAAAACCGAGGTAAGGAAGAGTTCCAGATTCAAAGTCGACTGGGAACTCAGAAATTCTGACTTATTCGGGAATGCACCATCACTTTGACATCAAATCATGGCTGATTTTCTTTGTCTTTCATTACTCCTTTAGTCCAGAACCACAGTGGAGAAGCTGGCCGTCTCTCCTCAGTGGACCAACTATGGGCTCAGAATATTTGGCTATCTTCATCCACATACTGATGGTACTTTTTCGCTTTGTGTATTTTCAGCATGTAATACGTGTATGTTATGCTATACAGACTCAGTCTGTCTCTTCATTCCTTTATCTTATTTCCTCTTCTTTTGTCTCAGGAGATTTTGTGTTTGCTGTGAGCTCTGACGACAACTCTGAATTCTGGCTGAGCACAGATGACTCTCCCCTTAATTTGAAGTTAATTGCGTGGGTTGGAATGGTATGCATTTTGTCATCTCAAGTGTTCCGGGGTAAATTTCTCATACTAGTCTTTGTAACATTTCCTTCAGTGTTTAATTTTCATTTCCTAGACGGGAAAAGAATGGACGGCCCCGGGTGAGTTTGAGAAGTATTCCAGTCAGACCTCCAGACCAGTTTGGTGAGTGAAGTTGGGAACGTGCTTACATTGGTTGGTTTGACATCTTACACAAACAGTTCAAACTGATAAGAGTCTCAAAAGCATTACCACCAACTGCCAGGGTTTCTCATTTAACAAATAACGAACAAATGCTTTGAACTTGTGGAACTGACCTAACTGGAGAACAAGAACAAGGCTTATCTAACACTGGTAAAGCATCGTTAGCAGTCAAAGACTTACGCTACTTTCTTTCCCCCCATCTGGTACCCTTACTGTTTTCCTGGGTGTCCTCATTCTTTCTCCTTATATTAACAAAGCAGTTCCCTCATAATAACAACTTTCTGTGTATGGAGCTTTTTAAAACACACAGTTACTCGTGAGCACTAAAGCATCCAGCCTGATGGGCTGAGGAGAGACAATGTTGGAGGCTACAAGGTCAGAATCGTGGTATTTTCTGGACACACACAAAAAAGAAAACGATTGTGAACAGTCATAGGGCCCTGACGTGCTGAAATATGTCTCAACAATTCTTCTATATTAAGCAGGTTCAAAGCTATGCAAATTTTAAAATTAAAAGAAGGTAATTCTTTAGTGATTTCAGGTCTGGGGTCATATGTTCCTATTTCCACGTATGTGTAAGGACCCTAGGCTCTGCACTCAGAACAAGTTGAAGTCAACCTGACGATAAGAACCTGCGTATAGAGCGTTAGAGTAGTCTAACCTGTCTGACATGAATATATTAACCAATTTGTCAGAGTCAGTTTTTAATAAATATTTTGCATGTTGCAGTGGGGAAGTAGCAGTTAGGGATTTGTTTGTGTACTGATTTTTCTGTGCATATTAAATGAGGCAGAAAGGTGAAATTTCAGCTCTTTCAAGTCACAAATATTTCTTTAAATTTAAAAAAACTTTACAAGTTGTACTTGTTGTACTTGAGGATAAGAAATTAGGTTTGAGGCATCAAACCTGTTTCAAAAGCACAAATGACTCTTCTTAACAGTTGAATTATAATTAATGGCATGCTGGAAAGCACAGCCTTTTACACCCTGTGCGTATAAAATTAGTTGCTTTATTAAAGCAGTTTAGTGAGTTGCCATAGGAGTGGCGTGTATGCTCGTGCCAAGATATAAAGAACCGGCCTAAATCCACATTAATGCAAATATTTAAATAATGTTAATGTCTACTCATAGTTTTATATGTGTGTGTGTGTGTGTATATATATATTATATATTAAATATCATATATATATTATATTTTATATTATATATATATATATATATATACATATATATATAAGGGTTTATGTATCAGGATAATAAAAAAAATGATCTGGACCTCATCTGTTCTTAAAAGGTAAATACAACCTGAGATTATAAAAAACAGCACATGACATGTGTCATTATTTATTTAAGAAAGGCTCATCCAAGGGTACAGGAAGATGGTATAAACTTCCACATTTTTCCTTTAATTTCCAATAAATTATTATTGAACATGTGTAACTTCTGTTTTTCATCTGTGGTTGTACTTACCTAATTTTAAGACCTATTAAGGACAGTATGGTTTTATTATGTCCTGATATGTAAAAACATTACCATGATTGTATATATTGAAGTCATAAATAATTTATTATGTACATTCAGCAAATAAGGGTTTGAGATTATCTTTGGGTAAGTAGTTTATATTGTCTTTTTTATGACTATAACATGATACTGAGTACCTTTACTGTCTGACAGGCTGTCTGCTCAGAGGAGATACTTTTTTGAAGTTATTCACAAGCAAAACGACGAAGGGACTGACCACGTGGAGGTGGCAGTAAGTAGCTGGATCCCTCTCTGTTTTCTTATCTCATTCCTTGTTTCCAAACTCCCGCGCCGAGTATGCGCTCTTGTATTATGTGAGTAATAAAGTGGAAAAGATGTGCAGTTTTTAAAGTTTGTTTTGTTTTCACACAGTGGCTGCAATTGGACTATAGCAGTCTGTTTAAGGTTATTGACTCCAAGTACATCTCCCTCTATACTAGTGAGTACACACATCATGCCTCAAAATATATCCCTCAGAATGAATGTTCATGAGTCTAGATCGCAATGAAACATTTGCCTTTTATTCTGCATAGATGCTAAAAAGCACAGTAAGTAAAAAGCTTGTATCTTCTTCTGACGCTCCGTGTCTTCAGATGAGTCAGCACTGTCAATGAATGATGTCGCCCACATACCACAGACAGCTGCAAGCCACCGGCAAACCCCCACAAAGCAGCGCAGTGCTGATGCAGATATGTTAATTGAAGACCGTCGAGATTCATTCTACAAAGGTCAGCTACGTCGCTCGATTGTTTCAACACAAAGCAGATACATCAGCTGTCTGTTTCCTACCATCCCGGATGCAAGTACTGTGCAAATTATTTCCTCTTACTGAATGCACAAAGTAATCTCGCCTCTTATCTGTTTCGCTTTTTTGCAGTGCGCATGTTAAACAGCAAGTACCTACAAGGTGTTCTGCCTGACTGCTCATATAACCCCTCTTACACAATCAAAGACTTCCCTTTGCTTCGTTATCAAGGACTGCAGTTTGTACGTATCTGTTGTACTGATAATTTGTTTACGTCACTTACAGTACTTTTCTGATATTTAATCACCTTATACCATTATTCTCAGAAGGTTACAGGTGCATTTTTAAAATCTTTTGTTTGTTCAAGAGATAAAGAAAGGCATGCCAGCAAGAAACGCTGGGAAGCTTTTTCAATCTTTTATGGCTTTTATGTCAGTCTTCTAATGGTATCCCTGGTATACTGAGTTATGCTATCTATTTGAGGCCTTTAAATTGCACCCACATTCTTAATGTCTTCCGAGGACCATATAAAATAAATTAGTGCTAATTGCATCCATTAGGAAGAAAAAAAAAAAACAGTAAAATAGCTTGAGATTTTTCTCGTATTGATTTTACTACTGTTGCTGAAGTCGAGTTATTTGCAGTGACTTCCTGGAATCTCTAATGGTTGCCTCCAGGACGTCATTTACTGGCCAAGAAATAGTCTTCAATGTCTCTTTCACGCTTCAGCTGAAATGCGTTAGTGAGATTTGGAAGAGCTCTAAAGTAGATGTTTTTTAATCTTTAAAGAAAGCCACTGGTAGCTTTACCTTCTCTTTGTTTCCAGTCTGCTGAGTTAAGCCTCTAATTGTACCTTCATATTTACCAAATAGATTTCTTTTTATCCAACTTTCAATGCAAAGGACAATAATTACATACCTCAAAATATTCAACTTTTTAAAATAAGATGTCATATATTTTACACCATGTCATTTCATTTCATATCCTCAGGTCCACTTGTCCTACATCTACCCCAATGACTACACTCGACTAACACACATGGAGACGCAGACCAGCTGTTTCTACTCTGAGAGCTCTTACTACCTAAAGAGGTGAGCTAATTGTTACAAATATGTTTACTGTCCCACTCAACTCAACTTAAGTTGATGTTAAATCCAGAGAAATCCAAGTTCATGTTATTCTCAAATGGCAAAGAATTGTTATCTACGTCTCCTAAGATTAATTTGATCTATATGTATATTTTTCACATGTTTGTACAGGATATTGTATTTGTTTAAAATGTTATATACTTATGTGGTACATGTATTTTGACTTTTGTTGTCATGATGTCTCTCTTGGAAATGAGATTTTTAATCTCAATGGGATTTTCTACCTGGATAAATAAAGGACTAATAACAATAATGCTGGAAAAGTGTGACAAGTTGAACTATAATTAGTTTTAGAGTATCACCAAGCAAGGCTGCTATAACTTCCGTCCTTTTTTCCTTTTTTAAATGTCACATCTAGGTTCGGCTTCTCTAGATACATGAGATTTGACCGTCCAGCTACAGAGGAAAAAGTAAATCCAGACAGAGGTATTTTGCCCTTGTTTTTCCCCATAAGCAAACATAAGCTGCTTGCAGTTTCAGTCCCTTTAACTGTCCTTTTTTATATCTGGTGTATATTAGATTTTAATTTCCAGATGAGGAATTTTAACCAGGAGGACAATGACTTTCATAAAAAAGAAACGGAAACCAAGCCTGCTCATGAGGATAAAGCCCATTATCAAGACTATGGAGATGATTATGTACAAAAACGTAGGCGCAAACTCTTCTCCTTGGTTGTCCCAAAATCAAACAACACATTGGGCAACTCTTCAGGACTGCACAGAGGCGAGTTGGGGAAGAGGGAACATAAAGAAAATTTGTCTCAGCCCCAGTCAGTGCTAAAGCAAGGCTTAAAACATAACCTGCAACTGAATCAGACAAAGTTACAAAAAGAGGAGGGGCAAGTTGTAAAAGCAGAACAGCAGAAAAGCAGAAAACGAGTAAAAAGAAAAAGGGTAAAAGCAGCTCAGAGACCAGGACAGAATAATCTACCAATACTGGATAATAAAAAAGACCTTAAAGCAAATCAGCAACCAGTTGTCCAATCAGAGCAACTTGGCTCTAAACAGGATCAAATCCAGAAATTTGGTAAAACGAATAATACCGAAATCCAGCGACTCAACAACTCACAGCCTGAAAAACCATCAGTGGCCAAGCAGCGGAGGTTTGTAACCAAACAGAAGGAACTTCAGCTGCCAAACAGCAAGCGTTTTACCCCTCCCAAAAGAGATTTCAACCACCCATTAAAAAGATCAAATCAAAGGGACTTGGATGGCAAAAAAAGCCCCAATGATAAGGATATTGAGCTGAATATGCCACAACAACAAGATTTAGAAAACACCATTGTTAGAGGTAAGAAGATTGCTAAAGGGAATATTGACAAAAGGTGGTCGGATAGGAAAGAAGGGGAGGAAGATGAGCTTTCCAACAGGGCTGAGAAAAGGAAAGACACCACAGAGGGTGAGAAACGCTACTTCTGGGAAAGACAAGAAGACTTTGAAGGTACTGATGATGAAGATCTTACACCTGCACCAGTTTTTGACACTCAAGTCAACTGGAACCAGACCTTCCAAGTCAACCACCTGGATCTTCAGGCCCAGCGTTCAGATTGGATCGACCTGCAGTGCAACATTTCTGGAAACTTGTTGCTTCACTCCAATGATGCTTTGCCAATAGTCAAGATGTTCATGGACCAACTGAATAAAAAGCATCATGGGTAAGTTGTGCATCTAGTGATGTGTGTGTGTGGAAAATGTTAATCTGATTGGATTTTGCTATATCCTCTAGAATTTGTTAAAAGAAGTATTTTAGGTGATTTTAACTTTTCTCATCTTGAAAGTCAGTGGTTAATTTATGTATACCTCCTCAGGTAAAGTGTTTTTATTATTTTTTTAAATTGCTTCATTTGCTACTATATTTTTAAAGCTATAACTTGCCTAAATACTTTGAGCTGCTTTCATATGATTAGCTGCTTAGATGTATGCGTTAACCAGCAGTTGGACAGGGCTATGTAATAACGTGTCTGTTGATTGTAGTATGCAAAAATATTACACTGACAAGAGCCACTTTGTAGCAACATGAGAACTTTTGCTACTTTTTTAGTAGTTATTTTATACTTGGTGTAGTAAATTAAGTTTTTCAGATTAATTGTAACAAGTCAACGTATGATATAAGACTCTTATTGTAAGCTCATGCCATTTTCAATTAGGTGATAAAATATTCAAAAACCTTTGTACTTCCTTTACAGCACATTGCACTTTTATTTTTGTGGTTGCTCTTGCAGGCGGTTTAAGTTGGTACGTGTGGTTAACATGGTGAAGCGTGTGGATGACTTCCAGGGCAGCCGCTACCTTCTTGAACTGGAACTGAAAGATGTGAATGGCCAGCTGCTGCGTGTATCACACTACATCTATGCTCTGGTAACCAATAGCTGGTCCAACGGCTGGGACTCAGACTTCCAACAGTCAAAATCTAAGACTTTGCTCTGCAACCCGGTGGGCTTCCGCTGGAATCCTGTTGCCATGGTCCACTTCATAGTGCCAGGTACTGTACACCTGACACTTACTTGGCGATTGCACATAAAATCAGCCAAATCTAAAAAAAAAGTTCCCACACCTGCTCAAAATCAACTGATTTACATGTTCATTTTCTTGTTTGTTAATATTTCATTTTTCAAAGATAGAAGTTCTTACAGCCTGACAGTGTCATATTAAAAAACATGGTGAGATGTAAGTGGACCTTTTTAGAGGAAAAAGAAAACCCTTCAGTGGGATTAAATAATGGCTCCATGTCTCTAAAATATGCAGAAATAAAGGATAATCTCTCTGAGACAAGGTCCTTAACAGTAAAATGTAAAACTCTTATCACCTGAAGACAGAAATTGAATCACATTATGAATTCAGCATAATATAATATTAATGTAAATTTGGCAGTAATGCATTAATACTGGTATGTAAAGCACATAACAGAGCTTCCCTTTATTAATGAAGTTTAACTGTCGAGCACCGCATGGGCATGGCAAGCCTGTTATTATACTGTCTGTGGGAATGACCTGTGTTCCCTTTGAGAATTAATAGCTTTAAAAAAAATGCAAAGGTCAAAACACCTCTGCCAGATAAAAGATAGAGATAAGTCACTTATCTGTCATATAATTGGCCTGTATGTCTTTTTCAGTAAAAAACCAGGCTAGATGGGTGCAGCAGCTGATTACTGACATGGAGGAACTGTTCAAAATAACTGGAGATAGTAACTTCAACCTCATAATCACTGACTACAAAAGCACTGACATGGATGTGAGGAAGGCTCTTGAGAAGTCCTCACTGCCCAGGTTTGTGTTTGTGAGTTAATTTTACAGGCAATACAAGCCTATTGCAAACTATTCATGGTCTAACTGAGCTGTATGTATGCTTGTGGAAATGATCAGGTACCAGTATGTGAAGATGGATGGGAACTTTGAGCGCTCTGCTGGTCTGCAAGCAGGTATCGACCTGATAACTGTGAGTACTGCGGCATCGCTCGGCAAGGAAGCATAAAAGTGTACCGATAGATGTCAATAGTAAATTTCATGAATTTAATGTTTCCCATCTCGCTGTTCCTTAGGATGACCACAGCATCGTGTTTCTTTGCGACCTCCACATCCACTTCCCTCCTTCAATCATTGATACCATCAGGATGCACTGTGTAGAGGGATACATGGCCTTTGCTCCCATTGTCATGAGGCTGGGCTGTGGTAATACACCTTTAGAGGCCAGAGGTGGGAAATGGGACCAGATTCACTTCCTTTTGTTTTGTATTTTTTTAGCCAGTAAAATGACAGGTATTTATGTCTTTGGCTATGTGATTGTCTGTGTTGTAGGTTACTGGGAGATCAATGGCTTTGGCTTGCTGGGTATCTATAAGTCAGATCTTGACACAGTGGGAGGTATGAACACCAAGGAATTCACTGATCGCTGGGGAGGAGAAGACTGGGAGCTTCTCGACAGGTTTGTCTCACACTTTCTATCTTTTCTAAATGGATAGATATGTTTAGAGTTTTTCCATCCATTTCATCCATTGAAAGAAATTAGATAGCAATACTTGGAAGCAATACACCTTCCAAGTAAGAAGCAGACTGGTTAAAAGGTTGCTGGTAAAGGCAAAGAACAGATGGACATACTCTCAAATTTGTTTTGATTTATTAGTGCAAGGGTTTTTTTTCAGCCAATCATGATTTGTGTCTAAGAAATGCCAACAAAGCATGTTGGAGCTCTTAACTGGCGAAAAATTGTTTCTTTCCTGTTTGTGATCCAGGTTGAGTAAGCACTCTATCCTCTTGTTTTCTCATCTAGAATCCTTGAGGCAGGTCTAGAAGTGGAGAGGATCTACTTGAGGAACTTTTTCCACCACTATCACTCCAAACGTGGCATGTGGAACCGGCGAATGTCAACAAGTCCCAGGTGACCTTGTCACCTGCATTTGCACAATGACATCACCACGGTTACAACCAAGGCAACGCGAGCACTTTAAAGCCGGAGGGTGATTCCTGCTATGTAATGGTAATACCTGCTGACGGTTAGAGAGTAGCACATGAGCCGGTGCTGTATTTGCTCACTCAGGCTTTGGGAAGCAGGTGACAGCACTGAAGGTCATTGCTTAGGAGATACTACTGATATGCTCAGAGTTTATTTCATTGAATATGCTGTGGACTCCAAAGAGGGTACTGGCTACTGAGTGCCAGTGACTATAAAATTCAATGTATGAGGATACCGCCGTGCACAATGATGCTGACCAAGATCATGATCTGCACTACTGGCAGGAAGAACATTTCCTAATCTGAAGACAAAGCTGGATTCCATATATGTAAGCTCACAAGTGTCCCTTATTATAAACATTACTCTTGCACATAGGTCTTAACTAGTGGGAGGGGGGGGGGATTTTATTTTATTTGTGTCCCAAAATTTCTTTTTACTGTAGATTGTTTATATGATAAAAACACAGCCTTACTTGTCTTGTTGCAAATTAGAGAAAGCATTTTATTTATTGAATAAATATTTGTGGTGTTCTTTTTCCCCCCTTTTATATTTAATGCTAGAAATGTTGAACTTACCTCAGTGCTCTTCCCTGTTTGTTCTCATTATGTTTAAGTGTTCTTACTCTGCTGTGACTCGAAGTAATGAGAACTGTTTTACAGGCAAATCCGAAAAAGCCTTAAACTGAAAATAATAAGTTAATGTTAAAGTGATGTTTAATTGTAGCATTAAGTTGTTTTTAAGGAAACAAAAAATAATGGCTTTAATTTAGACAGATTTGTTTTTGTCAATGCACAGGCAATTAATGACCATATCATATCCACTGTGGAAGTACATTTTCCACTTTTGCCAGTTCTCCTTACACTGCCACTAACCAAAAATAACCAAAATAACCTTTAATCATAGCATTACGTCCTGTGTTTGATGGTCCCTTTGCTCTACTTTGTCATCAATGGATCATGCTTCTCCTTAGGTTGTCATTTCTGACAGCAGAGAAATTCCTCAAAATGTGATTAATGAGTGAAAATTCTTGTCGCTTTGTCGCATTGTTATGTTGTTAGTTAATGTTGGAGTAATGGCAGCATTTTCTCATTAACATTCCATGTCAGCAAATGAGTTGTCTTTTAGCGTAATCTATAAAAATGACTGACAGGTGCTGAACTCTTTCACTTGTCATTCAGGGCAATGAAGACAGAAGACGAGTTGAAAGTTACATTTATAATTTATAACACTGCTAAGAGTAGTGTGTTGTGTTTGTTTTTTGGCTTTTCCTTTTGCGAGCATTGCCTCTTTCTAAATTTGGTTTGTGAGTTTGCTGGAATAATGGATACTTCCCCCTTTCCTCCTTTACACTCCTTCACATGACTTAAAGTGCTCTTGTTTTACTTCTAAAATACCTCAGCACTGTCTTTATGCTGGGAATAGGTTCTCCATTAATGTTCTGAAGCGTTTTCTCTCAGGGACAGGTTATTCCATGTTACGCTGCCTTGACAAATCTGGCAAATAAAGTCCTCTTAAATGTGTTCGTTTGATTACCGTGTTGTTTTACATAGCTGATATATACTGAGGTATACTGTGGACTTGTACCTCAGTTGAGCACTCAAAGAACTTTTTACTGGAAGCTTGATTCACCCAGTCACACTTATTCATGTAGCACTTTTATCTGCCTAAGAGTTTTCCTAACATTCCCACACACACTCATATAGGTGCATCAGAATAGTCTCTGAGTTTAGTGTCTTGCCAAAGGATACTTCAACATATAGGCTGTAGAAATTTGGGATCAAACCATCAACTTTCCAACTAGAAGATAAACTGCTCTGCCTCTTCAGCCACAACTGCCCCAGGATGCAAGTAATGAACTGAGACAACCTTTAATTAAAAAAAAGAGAGGTATTCTAGTTATTGATTAAATTACCTTTGGAGAGAAACAAGCTTTATAGGTGCATCATCACTGTTTTCCTCCTTGGTACATCTCTGCACATTTTCACAATAATCTCATTGGTAAGTAGTAATTATTCTTAAACTCATTCAGATAAACTTGAAAGACATTTGTGTTCCTGCCGGTCGGCAATCTTATCAGCCAATCTAATGAATTTAGGCATAGTTAACTAGCTGAAGTTAAAACCTGGTGAAGGATGGGATGTGTTCATCCACACAAAATTTCCATCTCTATCTCTAGGGTTTACAGACAATGGTATGAAAAATATAAACTATCCAGTGAACAGTAGTTCTCTAGGTGGAAATCCCTTCTTGATGTCAGAGGTGACATGAGAATAGTCAGGGTGCGTCGATCTGATAGCTAGGCAAATGTAGCTCAAATAACCACTCATCACAACCAAGGTATGCAGAAAACATGTCCTGCTTTTTTTTCCTCAAAGGCACAACATGTCAAACCTTAAAACAGCAGAAGACTGCAACGGGTGTCACTTCCTATCAATTCGAAACAGGAAACTGTGGCTACAGTTGACACAGGCGGATCAAAATTAGACAACAGAAGACTATAAAAACATTACCTGGTCTGACAAGTCGTAATTTAATTCATGCACGAATTAAATCCTGCCTTGTATCAACAGTTCAGGCTGCTGTAGGTGGTGTGATGTTATGGGAGTTCTTTTCTTAGCACACTTTGGGCCCCTTTTTATCATCTAAGCATTGTTTAAATGTATCAAGTATCAAGTATTTATTTATTGTCATTGTCAAAGAACAATGAAATTGCGTTTGGGGCTTCCGTACAACCCGTAAAAAAAAAATTTAAAAAAAAAATGCCACAGCCTACCTGAGTATTGTTGCTAATAATGTCCATCCTTTATGACCACACTGTACCAATCTTCTGCTTATTTCAATCAGAATAGAATATCATGTTACATGATACTTGTACATGACAATGAGTTCACTGTCCTCAAATCAAATTCAAATTTTATTTGTCACAAACACAGTCATACACAGTACGATATGCAGTGAAATGCTTAGACAACTGCTTGTGACCTAAAATAAAAGACTATGAATAGGATAGGAAATAAACAGGGTACTGTCGTTGCTACTGTCACCAAATTTCAGTCCAACAGAGCACCTTTGGGGTATTCGCATTATGGATATACAGCTGACAAATCTGCAGAAACTTTGAGCCAAAATCTCTGATTTGGGCATTAGGTACATATCTATACATACATCCTGATTCTTGTAAAAGTAAAAATAGAGACTAGCAGGCCAGTTTCTGTGATTTTCTTATTCTTGAGGCTAGACTGATATTTCTGGGTTATGGCAGATTATTTCATAGCTCATAGACAGAAGCTGTACTATTGTAGTGCATATAGGCCACTGTTATACTAAATGAAATAACTTCACACAGTAAAAATAGCATTGTCAGTCATACACAAATTCTTTCCATCACCCTTAGAGTCCTTAAAGGCTGCTGACTCCATCCACAACACCCTTGATTATTCAACCCCCTGTCTTGCTGACAGTGTTTGACGCTAGTTCAAGGACAAGTATCAGTATGTGTGACAATATTTGCTGTTTTTAACCGGAGAGGAATTCATTCCATAGAAGAAGAAAGGCTAAGTATATCCTTGCTCTAAATATCTCAGGTGGCACTGCAAGTTTATGGCATTCCTTAGTGGAGACAGAAGAAATACAGCTCCATTACCGTGTACAAGGACAATGCCAGGCAATGTAAATCTGCTGCACTCACAAATGAAATACATTATTATCACCATATGATAATATGCCTAAAATCTAAGTCCAACCAATCCAGTTGTCCATGGAGTATATCTTATTGTAATGGTCAAGCTCTGAACTTCATCGCATATTAGTCTCCACTAGTAATTTATGAATTCATTTACTTTTAGGTTTGTAATTTTCAGTTTTTGACTATCCCATTTTATTTTTGACTCATTTTAGTTTGATTTTATAAATGTTATGTTAAATTTTGGTTAATTTATTTTCACTTTCAATTAAAGTTCTTTCATTAAATCTTCCTCCATCCATCCTGCAGCGTCAGCACATGAAGGAATTTGTTCACTGGGCCCCACCAGCAGCATCAAACATCTTCTTCCTGCCCTGCATACCAGACATGGCCTCCACATTTTTACGCCAGTCACCCACCTCCATCGTCAGCTCCTAAAGTAAAGCCGCATTCAGACCATCAGATTCTGCAGTTTTATTTGGCTGCTTATTTGAATATACCTAGATACCAATTATGTGTGTTGCTAGAGCAAACCTTCTCTTGTTTGATGTCTTCTTTCTTTACAGACTTGAGATTGGCCCTCAGATCCATGGAGCCCTTAGTTTTCGATCCAAACAGAGCTTTCAACATCTCATCTGCTGACACTCTCACCTTCCTGAGAGCTGGTTTCTTAAACTTTCCTCCAAGGTCCTGTACCTTTAGCTTCAACTTGTTGATCTAGCGATAGAGGGAAAAGCTTTATTGGTGGCTTATTTTTAAAGAGGAAAAAAAAAGCGTGTCAACATATTTTAGTTTAACTAGGTGTGTTATGTTTGCTGAGCTCATACATCTCTGTAGTTCTTGAGAACCTTTGCTTCACAGTCTTAGCGATCCTCGTCCACCACATGAATCTTTTCATGAATCTCCTTACAGACTTTCTACACAGAAAAAAATAAGTTTCAATTCATGACACTTGATTGGCTTTAAAAACACTGTCAAGCCCATATGCTTACTCAGAGTATCATAAGCTCACACCTGCAGATCATCAATGTTTAACCCACTGAGCTGCAGCGGTGGAAGCTTCTCCCTCAGGTATCGAACCTGTTCCTCATTTGCAGTTTTCTCGGCCTCCAAGTCTTCCGTGGCACGAGTCAGGAGAAGGATCTCGAAAAAGTCAAAGAGGTTTTCATTTGTGTCATCTGGTTATCGCTTATAATTTTAATATTGGTGGTTACAGGAAAGAACATTCTAATAATGACATTCTATTTATTATATATTCAGGAGTTATTATGGCTCGTGCATTTTTGCCATCATTATAAATTATTTACCTTTAGTGATAGCTTGCGTGACGCGGAAATCTTGCATTTAGGCTGGAAACAATACAAATATTACATATTATTGATGACTTGAAATGCCACATTGCTTAATTAAGTGCCTAATTCCTTTAAAACAGCAACAGGATGGGAAATTTTCTATCTGCAGTTATCGCAGTTATGCAGTTATCTAAAATAGGTACCCTTAACAAACACAAGAGCGTATCTGGTATTCTGACATCACTTATAAGCTCATCAACCATTTAAATGATTACCTTTTTTTTTTCTATAATGAGAAACTAAATGTCAGATCATATCAAATAAAACTGACATAAATATTTCACAATGACACTGAAATTATTTCTTTTTTCTGCTGCATGAAAGTATACAGTCTGCAAATATAAAAACACATTCTTGACAGGTTAGAAATATAAGACTTAATTTAATAATCATATGATAATATAAAAATATAAATACCTTCGCCTCTCCCTTGGGGGCAATGGATGATGTACAGGGAGTGCAGAATTATTAGGCAAGTTGTATTTTTGAGGAATAATGTTATTATTGAACAACAACCATGTTCTCAATGAACCCAAAAAACTCATTAATATCAAAGCTGAATGTTTTTGGAAGTAGTTTGTAGTTTGTTTTTAGTTTTAGCTATTTTAGGGGGATATCTGTGTGTGCAGGTGACTATTACTGTGCATAATTATTAGGCAACTTAACAAAAAACAAATATATACCCATTTCAATTATTTATTTTTACCAGTGAAACCAATATAACATCTCCACATTCACAAATATACATTTCTGACATTCAAAAACAAAACAAAAACAAATCAGCGACCAATATAGCCACCTTTCTTTGCAAGGACACTCAAAAGCCTGCCATCCATGGATTCTGTCAGTGTTTTGATCTGTTCACCATCAACATTGCGTGCAGCAGCAACCACAGCCTCCCAGACACTGTTCAGAGAGGTGTACTGTTTTCCCTCCTTGTAAATCTCACATTTGATGATA